CGGTTGTAGGATGCTTCAATTTATCAATTAGAGCAGTAGACACCACATTAGTGCAACTCCCTGAATCAATGATCATGTCACACAATCTCTCTTTCACTTTGCACCTTGTAAGAAAAAAATTCTCTCTTTGATTGTTCTCCATAGGTACGGTTTGGGAGTGTAGTGCTATTCTCAAAACCAAGCTTTTACCATGTGTCTCGGGCTCTACTTCACTCACATGCTCCTCCTCTTCTTCATTGTTTTCTTGCTCCTTATCTTCCTCATAGTCGCCAGCATTCTCACGCAACACTTGCTCTTGTTCCCACTCATGTGCAGTCATCACTCTCTTTGAAGGACAAGTACTTGATATGTGACCATAGCTCCCACACTTGAAACACTTTCTCTTATCCTCACCTTCAAGCTTCTTGTTAGGTTTGAATTTAGGTTTATCTTGCTTGGAAGTAGACGAATTACTGAAATTCGGCTTTTCAAAAGTCTTAGAACCCCCTTTAGTGTACGACCCCTTCTTCCCTTTTAATTGCTTTTCAATTCGAATGGCAACCTAACACACATCATCATAGTTCCAATATGGTTGTATCTCCACCTTTTCCGCAATATCTTCATTCAATCCAGCAATAAATGTAGCTACTTTATGCTCTTGCCTTTCATCTAAATCACAAAGCATATCAAATCTTTCAAATTCAGTAATAAAAGATTCAACACTAGATGTACCTTGCTTGAAAGTTTGCATCTTTATGTAGAGATCTTGCACATAGTATTCAGGAACAAATTTCTTCTTCATGTGCTTCTTAAGTTGACTCCATGTTCGAATCCTATCCCTACCTTCTCTTTCCCTTTTCTTTTACAAGTTATCATACCACAAGCTTGCACATCCAACCAACTTGCATTCAGCCACCTTGCATCTTTTTCTCTCATCATAGTCCTCGAAATAAAATAGGATTTCGTCTTTCCTTACCCACTCAAGATACTTTTTGGGTTCAATTAGACTACCATGGAAACTGGAAGATCTAATCTCAAGCTTTTATCATCATCCTTGCGCTTATCTCTCCTTCTAGGCCTTGGAGATTCATCACTTGAACTTCCCTCATCACTTGAGTCTAGATTAGAGTCAGAATTGCCCTTCTTTGAAGAATATTTGTCACGAACATCAAATAATCTCCTTAGTACCTCATCCAACCTTGCTGCAAATTCGGTTATCTGTCGATCTCTTCGAAGGTTCCGTGCTTGTTCTAAGGTTAAATTCCTTGGAACTACTAGTCTCTCTTCGTCACTCATAATTTCTACACAAACACAGTTATTTTATGCAAAAATCTGAATTAAAAAATCAAACCTTGGATGAATAATAAAGCAAAACAAAATCGGGTTCTCAACCGCAAATCAGTGCAGCAATACCAAAAGTTTGAGGCTGTGTAGAACTCGTTACTTATCCAAAAAATTACGAAATTTTAGGACGTGGTAGCCGGACGTTTTTAGAGTCCAATGCAAAAAGAATCACTCAAAAACTCCCAGTAGAACGTTCCCAGTTTAAGTTTTACCGAACCTGGCTCTGATACCAAGATGATGCGTATGTTCAAGAAACTTAAACACACACAAGGATTATTCAAGCCTAATTCTCTATAGGATTCGTCCACCAAGAATTAAACAAGAAGACAAGTAGATTAATTAAGTTAATGGTCACATCACCCCTTAATTAATCAACTTAAACAAAGCTTAAAGAACCTAATTACCAGCTTCAAGAAACGAATGTTTTGATTGCAAAACAAACAAATACTTTGATTTATTAATCTGAAAAATTCTATATCTAAAAGCCATGAAATTACAACTATTTATAGACTAAAAACTAATTAATTCTAAGTCTAATAGGAGTAGGACAAGTCCCTAGCCTTTAGCCCCAAGTAACCTTAATAGAATAGGAAAACTAATTCCAATTCTACTTAGATTAGGAAACTAATTCTACTTAGTCTATAATTCCTACAATAAATAAAATTAATTCTAAGTGCTTAAACCAAGAAAACCCTTTCAAGTGACAGGTAAAAACTTGCAAGGAAAAACTAATTAAAAACCACTAAGTAGAGTAAGTAGAGTGATCCGGAACTTGAGCTTGTACTAGACACCAAGTTCCTTTGCTTGAACCGTCCAAGAACCGCCAATTTGTCGCTTCTAATGAGTTAATATTAAAGTTTAGGTTGTCCTTGTAAAGATTTAACAAACTCTCGAAGTTCTCAATATCCGGATCAATTAGAGTCCAAACCAAGCCCAAACTACTCCCTCTTATCACCATATGGTCGGCCACCTCTTATGAGGCCCAATGATGGGCCTCTTCCTTCGTTCAATCCATCACCACATTGTATGGCCTCATATGATCCATTCTATTGGGTTTTAGACTATTTGACTTGCTCAAATATCATTTATCACGTTTAACAACAGACAATAACGACCCAAAAGAAAGAAGTTATTATCTCCATAATATTGATCCATTATATATCCAGTAATTGCACTTGACCAGACATGAAACCTTCAATCTCCCACTTGTCTGAGATAAGTGTACAATATTCAAATTCCTTAAGTTAATTAGTGTCTGATTTGATAATATGATTGCATCACATGTCGAGATCATATTAGTCTACAAATCATGTCTTGAAATCTGAGTTAGAATTGCAAAGTAAATAATTACCTGAATAATTCATTTGAGCACGACCATGCATTTTCTCAATTCTCCCTCTTCAAGGGGCCATGACACTTAACCATTTAAAGGATGAGTCAATCTAATCATGTGGCAACAAAAACTCCCACTCAACTTTTAGAATAACCGAAAAGTACCCTGTATAGTCCCCTTTCACGGCATGGCGGTGGAGCACAATCATAGTTAAAACTAATCATCAACCAAGAATAGTGTTCTACTCATGTCAAAATAATCCACTAATATATTTTATACATGAACTTCAAAGTAGGTCAAAGTTCATTCATGTATCATCCATACATATCCATGTGATTGACTGAACATCTCTATGTAGTCCCTATAGCCCATGAAACTACGCTATCAATCAATTTTACATGCTACTTCATTTATTGAAATCATTTTTGTCCAATTTAATTATTTCGAATAAGGAACTTAAAATAATTTGTGAATTTAGTTCACCTGTGGGGTTCCAGATCATGTATTTGATGATCCCAACAATTCATAATTATTTTGGACATATTATTTAATATCAAACCACAATTAAATAAGTGAAATAAAATTTTATACTCCGTAATAAACATAAACTGTAAGTCAATGTATTACATTTGTAATAAGTTTTCTCAAAACATATACAACTTTAATTCCATTCAAGCACTTGCTTCAATCTTGCAGCCCTAGTGTGACTCTCATGCTTAGGCTGTGGAAGGGGTTTGGTGAAAGGATCAGCGATATTCTCATCAGTATGAAGTTTGCAGATCTTGACATCCTGCCTACCAACGATCTCTCGAATGAGATGATACTTTCTCATTACATGTTTGGATTTGTAATGTGACCTTGGTTCCTTTGATTGGACAATGGCACCATAGTTGTCACAAAACAACTCAATTCCTTCTAGATCTTACGATTTGATATAGTTTTGGTTTAAGTAGTTTTTTACCCGGTTCAAACGGTTTCAGGTTAGAAACAATTCGGGTTAACATTGGTTCAATTCTGTTTCGGTTTGTTAACACTTCAGTCCATTGACATGATCGATCAGTTTGGTTTGTAAATTCTTCGGTTCGTTAATAGGTTCAGTTCTTGTATGGTTTAGCATCATTCCAATCGGTTCAGTTTCGAGTTTACTAATTAAATAGCGGTTTGGATCAATTTTCGATTTCAATAATCGATTTTTAATCAGTCTTGTTTTCATTTGGGTCGGTTGATTTTGACTATTCAAATGGTTTCGGTTTGGAATTTGACGGTGCTAGTCCCACAACTTTTCTCTCAAATTAATTTTTCTTATGAAAAATTTAAAATAGAGACTTTAACGAAAGATGCAAACAAAATGGAACAGAAGGAGTACTACATTACATATGTCACCCCTAAAAATATGTGCTACAACACGAGGTTAGGATAGTTGACAATAGACTTGATCTCAGATTTTATCCAATAATATTATGTACTCCGTATCTCCGTAGTAATGCATGCTTCTTGTGCCTAAATTATTACTACAGGTTCAAATGTGCGCAGGTTGTTGGTTGCACATTACATATTGCCACGAAGTCAGTAGTCCAATTCTAAGTAATCAAAAGAAGTCAAATAAAAGTCTTTCAAAGAATATTCTAGGAGGGTCCAAGTTGAATGAGTCAAGAGAAGTGTCATAAGAATCGAAATTATAAACTACAATTAGCTGTTAGCATGGAACAAGTCAAAACTACAATGGATAAGTTTATGCAGGACGTGGCAAGAGATTCGGAACTGAGCCTAGTAAATGATTCTGAATTCTACAGAATCTGGGAGAAGGCCGTTGAAGCACCCTAGGAAGATTTTCTATTATAAATAGAGAAATAATCATTGTTAAGAGGTATCAAAAAATATCTAGGCCTTATATTTCACAGCAATTAGCAATTATTAGCAGCGTTAGAAATCTATAGTGTACTTGTATCAAACATCAACTTTGTAGATTGGTAGCCTCATAGCCACCTGCAGGTTTTACTCTTATTCCTGGGTTTTTTGCGTCATCATCTTGTGTCTCTTCCTCCCTTCCCCCTTTGTTCACTTCTTTAGATTATTAATCATTGTTTATTGAACCTGCATCATTATTTGCATATTGATCAATCTAGCTGTTGTCCAATTGAATCTGGTCTTATCTGGCAATCAGATTTTGACCTAAAAAATGCTCTTTAAGTAATTTAACTGGATTTAGTCGTAGACTTGTAGATCCACTAATTATGCTCTCTCTTACGGTCTTACCCAAAAACATGTTCACACGTGACTTAAAATGTAAATATAGTACTGAAGTAGGTATTTTTTTTTTTTTTTTTTTTTTTTTTTTTTTTTTTTTTTTTTTACAAATATTGTCTTGTGTAAAACGTGAATATAGTTGAAAGTAGCCAGCTAGCAACTAAGCAAGTACGAGTAGCCACTAGTTTGTTAATAAAAAAAAAGTAGCCACTAGTTAGTACAGACTGAGGATAACATAAAAATACAGTATTTAAGAGGAATCTGATTGAGAAATTTCAGAATTAAAAACAGTGAGATTCATTTAAATAAAATTGGGCAAAGTATATAGAATCTTCATCCATTAGCTAATCATCTCCGGTCTCCACTCTATTGAACTATTTTATACGCATACGGGTGTACCGTGCACCCAATTAAACCAAAATTAGTTTTTGCTCTTCATCTGATGATTACATGAAAAACACTAATCAAAATAAAAACAAAATGCTCATGGGGTGTACCATACCCCCGGGTGTATATAACAATCTCTACCACTCTATAACATAAAGGCCAGCAAACCCAACTCTTCTAAATCAACAGGAAACACAAGCTTAAATCCAGAGAAAACAACCATAAGCTCCAATGGAAGGGACCATGAAACAGATGAGCAAGCTCGGTCGTCGACTACTACTATTTCCTGCACCATTTCACGGCCATTTAAATCCAATGCTACAACTAGCAACTCTCCTTTACTCCAAAGGCTTCTCCATTACCATCATTCAGACTCCTTACAATCCTATAAATCCTACCGATTTCCCACACTTCACCTTCTGCTCCTTTTACAACAGCTTACTTGAGTCCTATTCCAAATCCCTTCCACCAGATTCTTTTACCATCATATCTGTCATGGAAACCTGCTGCGAGCCTTTCCGGGATTGCTTGTCTCAAATTTTACGCGAGGCTGCTGCTGCTGATATTGATACTGATGCGCGCAAGGAGCCTGTTGCTGCCTTGATAGCAGATCCTATGTGGACATTTGTTGGGTCTGTTACTGCAAGCATTAACCTTCCTAGGATGGTGCTCAGGACTGGTAGCATCTCGGCTTTGCTGGTTTATCTTTCTCTGCCTTCTTTACGAGAAAAGGGCTATCTCCCTGCTCGAGGTAACTTCTAATCTTGATATAGTTTGAAGTGATTTTTGCCAAATGTTCTGAATTAATACAGTTTATTTGATCTGACAATTAATAATATGTGCATATCAATACATACCTGAATCGCTGGATGTAACTAAACATTGGCACATACATCAGCTTTTCATCCCCTACAAATGCCAATGTATAAGGCAATTATGTGTTTAGATCGTGTTACCCGAGTGCAGGTAGACACGGCATTATTTTATTAGTTTATGTATTGATAGAGACTGCTGACCAGGTTCCCTGAAGAGAATTAATGGCTTTCTCAAAAAAATAAGGAAATCGATGAACTAGATTAAACAGAAAATATGCAGAATCAGTACTAGCTCCAGATTTTATTTTATTCTTAGGTACTAATTGCTTACTCAAATAAATTATGGAAACCAACAAACTAGATTAAATGAAGAAATATACAGAATCAGTACTAGCTGTAGATTTCATTCAATTCTTAGAATCAACCTCTTAGGCCAACACTCTCAGCAGCAGCATAGTAAGCAAACGAGTTGCAGGTTCCGTGTTCAACTGCTATGTCTATGTAATTGCAGGGTACATACAATCATACAATTCATGCAAACTCATATGTTTCAAAGGACTTCTGCAATTAATGTCAAGTAAATCAAAACGGTGCTAAAAATAGTGTTTAGAAGGAGACAACCTTCAAGACTGTACTTTCTATGTAATATTAATAATCTGCTTTATGACCCATTAAGAAATTTTAATTTTTTGGAATGTTTACCTTAAATTTTTGAATTTCAGGTTGTTGTATTTCTGTCAAATGCTTGACTTTTCTCTTTTTTTTTTTACACATTTCAGATAGTAATTTAGATGAAACACTGCCAGAGCTTTCCCCTTTAAAAGTCAGGGACCTTCCTTTAGAATGGCAACATCATTTACTGGAGGCACTAATCCGAGAAATCGAGACCTCTCATGGTGTCATATGCAATACCTTTGAAGAACTGGAAAGTTATTCAATGGCTCAAGTTAAACGATCCCTTCCTATCCCCATCTTCCCTATAGGCCCCTTACACAAACAATCGCACACTTCTGATACCAACATATGGGCAAAAGACCAAACTTCCATCGCGTGGTTGAATAACCAAACACCCAAGTCTGTACTGTATGTTAGTTTTGGGAGTGTTGCAGCAATGAGCAAAGCTGAATTTCTCGAGCTAGCTTGGGGACTGCTTGAAAGCATGGTGCCAATCCTATGGGTGGTACGCCCCGGATTGATCCAAGGTTGAGAAGTCAACAACTCATTGCCAGAAGGCTACCTTGGTATGTTGGGTGAAAGAGGACATATTGTAAAATGGGCACCTCAATTAGAGGTTTTATCCCACCCAGCTGTTGGAGGATTTTGGACTCACAACGGATGGAACTCGACTTTGGAGAGTATTAGTGAAGGAGTGCCAATGATTTGCCAGCCTATCTTTGCTGACCAGGATATGAACGCGAGGCATGTGAGTGATGGTTGGAAAATAGGGATGAAATTGGAAAAGGGGGTCAAAAGAGAAGAAATAGCAAGGTCGATAAGAAAACTAATGCTGGAAGAAGGGGAAGAGATGAGGAGCAGAATCACAGCTTTGAAGGAAAAGGCAAGTCTTTGTGTCAAGGAAGGCGGTTCTTCATATACATCTATAGAGAGGCTTACCAGCTATCTACTATCATTTTGATTTACTTATCTATTGTTTCATTGATTGAATATTGTCATCAACCGAATAAACTGAGAAGATATTTCTTTCTTAAGAAAAAATGCCTGTCCTATGGATGAGGTTTCGTTCCTTAAAATGTTGAGCACTTTGGTTTAGAGTGATCTCTCTGTGTGTATCAATGGAAACTTCATCCTGTAAATTATTTTCTTGGTAAGCAAAGTGGTTTACTGCAAAATTCTTCAGAACATTACATTCTACAGTCTAATGCAAGGGTATACACCTTAGAACGACTCCTCACAAGCATAAGAGTAAGCAACTTAGTTGGCGTTTACAGTGGCAAAGTAAAGGTAGAAACTCTTAACAAACTAGCAAACCAATTACTATTGATTAGGCTCTTTAGTAACTATACATCCGCTGCATAATGAAGCTGCTATAATCACCTTTCGTCTAAACTGTGTGCCTTAGGTAACTTCTGCTCACCCACATACTACTTTGAAAAAGGATGAATTTTATAGAAGAGACACCACTGAACTATTTGCAAGCATTTAGAGCTAAAAGTAGCAATTGAAGTGGATTTCAGTTGCACTGGCAAACACTAAGCAGAGATCAGTAGCACAGACCCCTGATCTTGATCAATGTTTTCTTTGTCTGATCTGTTGTCTTTCTGTTAGAGCAAGTTATAGGATAAATCTGTTTTTCGGAACAGAAATTCTATCCAGACCCCTTCCAACAGAGGTTGGTAACTTGGTACTGTGTATTATCAGCGGGTCAATCATGTATGGAGTAATTCTTTGATTGCCAATCATAAACTTGAAAACGCTGCTACTACTAATTTTTCAATTTGTATTACTCTATATTCTTATACTTCAGTGCTTTGATGTTGTCTGTGGAAACCATACAACAGTATAGATTGCTGCCCTGTCATTAATAGCTTGATGGAGGTAAAAAATGTTCCTGAATATAAAAAGCAGGCAAAAGAGAAACTGCCGAAGATGATATATGATTATTATGCATCAGGTGCTGAAGATGAATGGACTTCAGAAGAGAACAGAAATGCATTTTCGAGGATTCTGTACGTGTTTCTGTAAAATGTTTTTATAGCCTTTGTCTCTTTACCAGTGTCAGTTTTCAAGAATACTCTTTGTGCCATTTGTAACTATAACTTGCAGGCGTTGCAGCTTTCATAGAAGATAAAATTGATATCTTAATATTTTCTCATTACTTTTAAAGTCCTATGCTTATATCTATATCTTTGGCTGACTATTGCATTTTACTTTTAATTACTCTTAAATCCCAATGAAACTCAGGTTCCAGCCTCGAATCCTCATTGAATCATTGATGTAAGTCATATAGACATTACAGCTGTCTTGGGTGTCAAGAATCCCATGCCAATCATGATTGGTCCTTCAACTATGCAAAAAATGGTGCACCCCTGACCCCAAAGGTAAATATTCAAGTCCCTGATATTGACCTTAATCTCTAAGGATCCTACTTTGGTCGTCAATCTGTATTTTGGTTTGGTGATGCTCGTGTGCAAATATTAATGCAAGTCATTACGAATGTATCCTCAATCTTCGATTTGGAATTGTTTCTGCAATTCTTGTTTTCAAAATAGCTGTCAAAACTCATACAAAGCCGACAGATACCTGCAGTCCTGTAGCCTTTAGGGATTAGTTATGGACTTATGATCTAAATTTGTTAAAACTTAATCAACCTGATATCTTTTCTTTTCTTTTTTTTTTTTTTTTTTTTTTTATAAGCTGTACTAGATCAATGTATTGAACAAGATGCTGCAACTAGATGCTCTATCATATATGGTGATCTTAAAGCTGATATCATTATTAATAGCATTCTGACAATAAGAGTTTATTATTGAGCAAATGGTCATGAATCTCAGTCTCATAAACCATATTTGATATCAGTTCCTTCTGTGGTGAAGTGATCATTTTCTTGCAGGAGAGTTTGCAACAGGTTGGGCAGCATCCGCTGCTGGCAGAGTTGTGGTTCGGACTCACATTTCTTGTAGTTGTTTCCCTTCATATTTTTGGATTGAAAGAAATGGAGGGAAATGAAGGGATGAATTATCTTTCGTTTGGATAACAAATAAAGAAGGAAGGGAATTGGAGGGGAGAGAAATTGAAGGATTAAATTGTAAGAAATTAATCTCTCTAACAATAGAGAGATTTGGAAGGAAAACTCATCTTTCTTTTCCTCCCCTTCCTTTCTCTTCCCTCCCCCTCACCTCCCTCCCCTTCTTTTCTTTCCCATTTCTTTATCCAAACACACCATAAGTGTCAAATTCATTCTTTTATCCGCATGTGTGATGATTTGATCCAAACATTGTATACATTGGCCACATTTAGTGTTGAAGGAGTTGCCTCAACTTGACTTGGAATTCGATTTTCCCTGCTTTATGTGAGTAAAAGTGCAAAATGGACGTCTGCCCGTATGTCCTCAAAATTCATCTCTCTTTTTCAACTGCTAGCCCTGATGTAATGTCCTACTTGCTCCAATTTTATTTTACAGCCTTATTTTATTACTTTTTTCATTTTCTTTTTTATAAACCTTTTATAATATTTTAATAATTTCTTGTCTTCTATGAACCCCAACTTTTATACTTTAATATAATATTTTTATATTCTATCTTCTCCCCTTTATAATACTTTATTTTTTCAGCAATCCCATTTTTTCATATTTTATGAGTACTTTCTACTCATTTTCCCAAAGTTTGAAACGAGACAAGTAATAAAATACATGGAAAATATTCAATACAAATAATATAAATTTAGTAAACAAAAAAAAAATTAAGATTAACTGAATATGGCCTTCTGCAGTGAAACGCGATTTGGTAAAAAAAAAAAAATAAAAAAAAAAATAAAAAAAATAGCCGCCACCACCTGATTCGTCGTACCACTGTAATGGCAGCCTCTTTGAATATAAAAATGAAGATATCCCGACTCATTTTTCTGCAGTTTTGGTTCAAACGCTCTCATTTTCTCTTGGACACTACTTCAGGTTAGTCACACCAACCCTTTAACAATGTTTCTTTCTTTCAACTACTCCGTATTTTGTTTTTTATTGTTTGTTAATTTTACTTCATAATTCACAACTTTGTTTTTCATTTTAACATTCATTACTCCATTTTCTCTACTATGATTAGCAGTATTTATTGCCCATCTTTGATTCTTCAATCTCCATAACTAATTTCGCAATACTTTCGATCTTTTGTAAATTACGGGGTAATTGAAAAGAAAAAAAATAAAAAAAATAAAAATTATACGTTGTGTAGGTTGTATATAATTACAAATTAATTAATGCATGATAATTAGCTTTAGCTAAGTAATAATTTCATTATCCAGCTCAAGTTATTTTTTTCTTGATGATCAATCAAACTTTAAATATAATACAAAACTTGGGATTAGAGATTAAGTTGCATAAATTAAACTTAGTGGTTTTTTTTCCCCTGTTATATGTTCTGAAAATCACATCTCTGAAGCACTAAAAAAACGGAGGGAGTTTAAACTATTATGATTTTCCATGAGACTAGGAGGTTTAATGAAGAAGTTAGCCATATACGAGTATAACAGTCACCTAATGATTTTCCTTTAGATGTTGAGCACTGTTTGCAAAGTGGCTTATTGCAAAATTCTTAAGAACAGTTTGCATTCTGCAGTCTGATGTGAAGGGACACACCTTTGAAGTATCTCAAAAAACTTAATAGTGGCGGAAGAAACTCTTTACAAATTAGCAAACCAATTACTATTTATTATGATCACTAGTCACTACACAACTGCTGCATAAGCTGCTATAAGCACCTTCCGCGACTTAGTACTTCTGCTCACTCACATACTACTCTGGAAATGATTATAAATATTTCTTTGGTCTGATCTGTAGTCTATCCGTTGTAGAAAGTTATAGGATGAAACTGCTTTTCAGAACAGAAAATCTATCTTTACCCCCTTACACCAAAGGTTGGTACTGTATAGTTTAGGCAAGTCACATCTTGGATGGAGTAACTCTTTGATTGCCAATTATAAATTTGAAAACGCTGCTGCTACTAAATTTTCAATTGGTATTGCTCTTAGTTTTGAAAATGAGTCAGTGCTTTGACGTTTTCAGGGGAGATCATACAGCAGAATCGTTAACAGCTTGATGGAGATAACAAATGTTTCTGAATATAATAAGCTGGCAAAAGAGAGACTGCCGAAGATGATATATGATTATTATGCATCAGGTGCTGAAGATGAATGGACTCTAGAAGAGAACATAAATGCATTTTCGAGGATTTTGTATGTGTTCTCTTTCATGTAGTGTCATAACCTTTATGGTCACTTGAATGTTTCCGTATCCTTTGTCATTTGACTAGTGTCAATTTTCAAGTATGATTTTTGTGCCTTTTGCCACAGCAACTTGCAGCTTTCATGTGCCAGGATATTTTAGAAACATTAGCAAATCATTATTATAAAACAACCGTATAGAAGATAAAAGTGATATCAGAAATATATTTTCTCATTCATCTTATAGTTTTATATCTATTTCTATATCTATGGCTGACTATTGCAATTTAATTATTGATTACTCCCAATTAAATTCAGGTTCCGACCTCGCATCCTCATTGATGTAAGTCATATAGACATTACAACAACTGTCTTGGGTTTCTAGATTCCCATGCCAATCATGATAGCTTCTTCAGCTATGCAAAAAATGGCTCACCCTGAAGGTAAAAATTCAAGTCCTTGATGTTATTTCTATTCTTGTTTTCAGGATAGCTGGTCGAAATTAACGCAAGGCCGGCAGACACCTGTAGCCATGTAGTCTGTAGGTTTTGGTGACTTATGGATTTATGATTAGAATTTAGAAAAGCTTAATCAGCCTGATATTTCATTTTACTTTATAAGCAGTACTGGATCAATGCTTTGAATCAAATGATGTAACTTGATGCTCTATCATATATAAATATGGTTCCGAAGATGATACAGTAATTAATGGTATTCTGACTGTGTTTGGACCTAGGAGTTAATTCTTGAGCTAATGATCATGAATACTCTAGTCTCATGCGCATATATATGATATATGAGTTAATTCTTGAGCTAATGATCATGAATGTTCTAGTCTCATGAGTCATTTATGATATAT